GGCTGGAGGCCGGCGCCCGGCGGGGAAGCGCCGACTCGCGCTCTGCGGAGAGGCCCCGCGCCTGGCCGTGCCTTTCTTCCCAGAGCCCGAGCGGCGGCGGCGAGATGCGTGGCGGCGGCGGCGCGGGGGTCGTGCTCCTGGCCTCGCTGCTCTGGGTCGCCGCGCGGTGCCAGCAGAGAGGTGAGCCCCGGTCCCCAGTATTCCCGGCGGGCGGCGGCAGCTGCGGGACAAAGCCGGCCGCTTTGCCGCTTCTTCGGTCGGGGCGCGCATCCTGGTTCACCTCGGACGGGGGGAATCGCACACGTGGGTCTCCCGCGCGGCCCCTGGGAAGCGTCTCCCGGGCCGGGCGGGAGAGGACTGGGGACGCCACCCGCTCATCCGACCCTTGGGCTTGAAACTCCTCGGGCTCAGGGGTGGGGGGTTGTGGGGTGGGGGTGGGGGGTTCCACTCCGTTTTTTGCGATCCCGAGCGCGAGCGGCGCGGGGGGACGGTGCGGGGGGTCGGGGGCTGCGGGAGGGGCGTTGCGACTCCGCAGCGGTCCCCAGCTTGCAGTCCTCCGGCTGCGGCGGGCGGGGGTACGGGCTGCAGACCCGGCGCGGGGAATGAATGGGAAAGGCGTCCTCTCGAGTCGCCCTCATTGTCCTGCGGTGGAAAGCCCGCTCGTCCACGGCGGGGAAAGGGCGGGCTCCTCGGGGCCGCTCGCGGCCCAGGGGGGCTAGTGGGGACAGACCATGGTGAGAAGCGCGCCCCTGCCCGACTGTCCTGAGCCGTGGGTACTCGCCCGCGCGACCCCCCGCAGGCGGCGTCCCGGCCACAGATGCGCCTTCTGAAAGGGCACTCTTTGTGCAGCCCCCGAAGTGGCCAAACCGGCTCATTCCCCGTGCAGGTTTAGACCGCGGTCACCCCGGGGTGATAGAGCCGGCGGCGAAGGGACGACTTTGCACGCTTGCTCGCTGCACGGGTGCAGTGGTTCTCCTGGCAAGGTTTGGGGAGAACGGAAACCCCAAGCGAATTCTCAAGGCTTCTATCAATGCCAGGAGAGAATGCTCCTTTCTGCGGAGCACTCCATTCCCCACTCGACTAATTGGAGACTCGGTGAAGTCTTGCCGCCGTCGCTTCTAGTTGGCTAGGGGGTCACAGTACTTGTTGACTGCATCGTCATGTGTGCAACATATGACCATGGGCACATTCCCACAAATACACATTTGATTAAAAAAAAAAAAATTCAGGTCAAAAGTAGGGAGGCGGAATGCGCAATACCCTCGTGGGAAAAATGTGTGTTTGGGCATTGTGCTGAGTTGTGAACTCTACAGCGACGTGTCCGGCTCATTCACGCAGGCATTCGTGATGAACGCACTGGACCGCAGCTGGCCACACAGCTTTGAACACCCGGCGCCGGCTCAGCGCGGACTAGGGCTGGGACGTAGAGTGAATTTACATAGTTATGCGTGCGAGAGAGGAGCCGGCCTTTCGGAGGCGAGGCTTTGGCGCTGCACGCCCAACTCCTTTCTCTCGGGTTGCTGAAAGTGAACAAGTCCCAGTTTCCCACAGGGTGGGGAGAGAGCCGCTTGGCTCAGCTTTATTGTTCTAAGAAATTAAAAGTCCTAGATTGAGGAGATGCCCCGAATGTTTTTCTTGCCCCTAGGAGCTGAGCACTTGGCGTGGGAGGTTATGAATGGTGTTTGGAGAAAGTGGGACCACATGGGGCTTTCCTGCTTAAGATGCTGTGGAAAACCACCCACCGCGGGAGTCTTTGAATCTTTCACACCGCCTTCCATATTTGCCAGTCCCCACCCCATCAGCCAACACCATGCTTCCTAAGGAGCACCTTTGAAGGAGTTTTCATTTTAAAAAATAATTTGTGTTCTACATGTATAGCGTAAATGATTAGTGAAATGATATATGGTCATAATAAAATCATCCTGACCCGTGGAGCACCGCTGAGTTGGCTATCTGGTGCCTACATTTTTTAAAAAGATCGTTATCTAACAGCACTCAGCTAATAGCAGTTCTCTACGCTGTGTCTCTCTGGATTACCTTACAACTCACAGTATAGGATCCAGTGGCTCACTAACCTTGAAATGTAACCTGTTTAAAGTGAGTTATTCCTAGGTTAGAATAAGAGGTGGTATGTTTCTTAAAATAGTGCTAAGTCCACAGCTAGCCATTACATAGAATTATAATTGCTTCACAGGTTGGCTCGTCAGCTTTTCTGTTTTAAATCGTCCTTTCTTTTTAAAAGTAAAAATAGATAGTTCCAAGTATAGAGAAAACAAATCTATTGTATGAACAGAAGAACATTTACTTCGTTCTAAACATGGCATAGTATTCAAATTTAGCATGTCTGTACTCCACAGTAGAGTATGTGTGCCTGAAGGGATTTCAAAGGCACATTTTTCTCTTCTGTAAGCTGTATTGCCATGTAAGGGCCAATAAAAAATATTGATCTTAGCAGTTGGAAACAAGGATAAGTGTAATAAAAACATCACTGCCTACCTTCTGCATATCCTGGACTTTGGCCTGCTCCTTTTCCCTTCCTCTTTTCCAGGCATTAAATATGAAGCCTACCACTGTAGTTAATAGAACGTCATAAAGAATTCAAATGCCACAGAGATATGAAGTAAACATACATACTGTTTGTAATGTCTTGTGCCACTCTTAGAATTGCACTGCTACATAAGCAAGTATCATAAAATGTTTATATACCCACTTATTTCAAGGTAATCCTCGTTGAAACACTCTACCGCTTTATAAAATTCGTTCATAAAGCCCTGTGGACATTCATTATCGTCTCTGGTAAATTTGGGGGAGGGGTGACAAGCTATATCTTTAAGCTTTAGATGTTTATTCTCTGGCCTTACTAGCTGGGGGAAATTGGGCACCTCTTCTGAGCTATAGTCTCTGGGATGCCTAATTGTTTCAAAATTTGGAGTCTGGACTTGGAATCAAATAGTCTTGGACTTAAATACCAGGCCTGTCCCTCTGATGAGCCATGACATTGGTTAACACCTTAACAGCTCTGAATGTCAGTCTTCCTGTCTATAAAATGGGTAGGATTCACATGGCATGGTGTTGGGCAGGACATAGCATCACAGGCATAGGATCCGTGGCGATGGCCCTTACTATTACACCTGTCATGTGCGCTCACCATCCTGGGTACCCCTCCCTTTCTCATTGCCCACATTCATTCCGTCATGAAGGCGTAATGATTTTACCTCCTGGAAATCTGTGTGATCTGTCTCCACTTTTTCGTCCCCACTGCTGACTAGGCTCAGGAATTGTTTGTTTTCCCCATGAAATATTGTGATGGTTCTCTCACCAAACCTCCTTCGTCCCCTGTTCTCCCTTCTCAGCACTGCTGCCTCTGTGATTTTTCTAGAAACACCACCATATGGGCTCAGACTGGTGCCACCCACACCCCTCACTTTTTTACATGTATTCACAAAATAACAGTGACGTGCATCACACTGGGGGTAAACCAAGGAGGCTATCCCAGAGCTGAGGGGCATTATTTTAGGCACATGTGTACCTACTCGTCGGCAACCAGTATTTCCTTGCACGCAGGCTGTGAAGTGCCAGACAAGTCTGCTGTTTAGGTTCTAAGGCCCTGGAAAACCTTCCTGGTCCCCTGATGCTGAAGTATTTATTAGGTATTTATTAGGTGCTCTTCCCTAAACTCCTGGGGGCCTCTCCACTTAATGCTCTTGTCATACGTATCCACTTATCATGGTGGCGTGAACAATTGGCTGGCCAATCTGTCTCGCCCACTGACTTGGGCAGGGACCGTTTTATCCATATCTGCATGGTCATTGTTTTGCAATGTTCCCAGCAGTGAATAGCCACCTGTCTTTGTTGAGTCACATTGAAATGAATTTCTTTGGTTATGAATCAAGTAACTTCAAAACATTTTGTTGTATAGGTAACCCATGCCCATGGTACAAAAGTCAAAGGGTACTACTAAAGGGTCTGTAGAAAAAGGTTAAGTCTTGACTTTTGTCACCTTCTTTTGAGGCAACCACTACTTTCGGTTTCTTGTGTATTCTTCCTTAGATGTCTCTTTGTGGAACTCTTTTTTTTTTTTT